ATATATAATATTTCAGAGAGGGAGAGAGACATCAATGATGAGAATCATTGATCGACTGCCTTCTACACGCCCCCTACTGGGGATCGAGCCTGCAACCCAAGGCATGTGCCTTGACTAGGAATCGAACCATGACTTCCTGGTTCATAGGCCGATGCTCAACCACTGAGCCACACTGGCTGGGCGGATTTTAAACTCTTAATCCAGCATTGGCCTGAACACTTTTGGTGATAGCCTTAGGGACGTCCTGAACCCAGCTTCCTGAATGCCATATGGAGTTAGAATCTTAGAAGTCCCTTAAATTTATTCTTTGTAATTCCTCTACTCCCTTCTCTTGCTAAGCACTCTTTCTTTATCTGAGCAGATCCTACTATTGGTGCCCCTTCTGATACTCCTCCCACTGCCTACTATATTTTCTACCTATTACCCTACCTCAGGTGCACCCAGGGGGATTTGCCTGTCTGAACAGTTCCCAGGGAGAGAAAACTTTTATTAAGATGACTTGCTTAATAACATGTAGTTTATAAGACCATAATGTGGTAGGCTGAATAATGGCCCCCACATCCTAATCTACACAACTTGTGAATATATTGCTTTACATGGGAAAGGGGGACTTTATAGATGTGATTAAGTTAAGGGTCTTGAGTTGGGGAAATTATCCTGGATTAGTCTTTTGAGCTCAGTGTAATCACATGGGTACTTATAAGAGAGAGGCAAGAAGGTCAGAAGAAAAGGCAATGTGACAGCAGAAACAGAGATTGGGGTGATGTGGCCATAAGCCAAGGAATGCCAGCTGCTTCTAGAAGTTGGAAGAGACAAGGAATGGATTCTCCCCCTGGAGCTTGCAGAAGAAATTCAGCTGATAACCTTGACTTAGCCCCCTAAGACTCATTTTAGACTTCTGACCTCCAGAACTATAGGAATAAATATAGGCTGTTATAGGCCACTAAATTTGTGGTCATTTATTACAGTTGCTACAAGAAGCTAATACAGATGCAAAGATAATGGGAAAAGCAAGCTGAAAGCAGAACTGTGAATCAGGTAGAGAAAGCAGTAGGAGGACTAATTACTTCCTGGGAACAACCACCAGCGGTCCCCGTCTTGGCCCATTTTCCTGCTCTTAGAACCTGGTTAAACCCTGAGTGTGATCCGGTGCCTTTCCGTGTCTTGCCCCTCGTATCAGAGACAAATGTGTATGTCATTTTCCCCCCATGACTCCCAGAACTTTCCTACAATTGTTTTTGTAGGAATCACTCTGCCTTACATTCCTCAAAGGTGTTGGTGGAGTCCTAACAAGCCCTTCTATAACCGTTTAGATGGCTGGTGTTACACATGCCAAGTTAAGTGGTGTGAATGGTCAGCACATGAGATTCCTCCGTAGTAATTAATAGCTAGATCTTACCCCTCACTTCCATAGAACAATGGCCTCAGTGGGGGAAGTCTGAGAACTTAGTTCCCAGTTAAATCAGCCAAACACCTGTTGATTACCTTCTGTACTCAGCCTGCTGCTCTAGGGGTCCTGGGTTGATAGAAACTCGGGTAGCCTCCACTTCTTTCATCAATGCGTGCCTGGAGAAGGAGATAAAAGCAGCATGGTGAAACAGAATCATTTCTCTAGTTTATCTGATGGCTAAGTAAGGATTAGTACTTAGTGCTTACTAACAGATGGCAGGAGGAAACACAATTTTCTTTGGGCTATTTTAAGGACATCAGGTAGAAATTGATGAATGAGTAAAAAAGTGACCAGTACTTTACAGGCATGATGGGATTCTCCAGTTGGTGAAATGTGAAATGGCTGAAATGAAGAATGGGCCTTATCTGACCCCGATGTCTGTTTGTCCATGCATCACTTATGTGCTCATGTATCATTCCAAACACAACTGCTGAGCACTTAGTAGTGTTCTCAGAGTTATAAAAACTGACTAGATCCCTGCTTTTATGGATTGTATTTTGCAGCAGAGGTAATCAATTAATGATTGATAAGGCATTTTCCATGTTAACAAATATCTTGTTACTAAAGATGTTTCTTAAGTAACAAGCCACTTAAGTTTAAGTCACTCAGAACCCAGGATACCTTGTTTGACGAAACCCAGCAAGGTATCCCATGAAAGGACTATTTTTGGTTGCAAGATGGCGTTGCCCTTGCCAACCTGTAGGAACAGCTCAGTAGGACCCAGCCTAAACCTTTCTCCCTTTCCATGTTATCTAGATAACTAAAACATCACACCTTTTATTTATAAGACTGTAAGTCTGGAAGGGATTTGAGAGGGCATCAGTTTATGCTGTGGACTTCGGCACAAATGCTTTCAGGAGCCAGGCAGGTCATGTAAGTCTGTGCAACTCTGTGTAAGACAATAGGGAATGGTGGGGACTTTGGCAAATTGAGAATATATGCCATGACTAAAGCTTTCAAGGTCTGGGCTGACCAAATATTATGTGTGTGGACCAGATTTGTGTCCAGTTGGCAGCCCTCGATTGCTCATCTTAGAAAACAGTAGTAGACTGACACCTTCTTAAAGCCTGCTGGAGACCATCATCTTTGTAAGTTTGGTGACAGACTTCTCTTCACGAGGCCAGCATGCACCAGCCTGCCATCGGCCTGTTGAGGGAAACTTGCTATTTGGTTGGGGTGGGCACCATCATATTTTTACCTAAGTGATGGCTTGCGAAAAGAATTTGTTCAGGCTATATATTCCTGGATCAGATTCTGTGAACCAGTTTTTCCTTATGCGTGCTGGTTTTATAGCAGTAGACTCATTCACAAGCAGCTGTAACTGCCCTTTAAGCAACAGGTCACCCTTTTGGCCGATGGATGAAGTCTAGAACTCCCTTTTACCAATTACTCAGCACCAAATCAGACAAATGCCTGCCTCTGCACTCTAGTGACCGACAATAGTTTTTGGAGCATTGGCCATAATAAAGTGTATGTAAATGCTGGTTTTATAGCAGTAAACTCATTCACAAGCAGCTGTAACTGCCCTTTAAGCAATAGGTCACCCTTTTGGCCGATGGATGAAGTCTAGAACTCCCTTTTACCAATTACTCAGCACCAAATCAGACAAATGCCTGCCTCTGCACTCTAGTGACCGACAATAGTTTTTGGAGCATTGGCCATAATAAAGTGTATGTAAAGTTGCTAGAAACTGAGTTCTGGTGACCTGGCTGTATTGCTGCCGACAATAGTTTTTGGAGCATTTGCCATAATAAAGTGTATGTAAAGTTGCTAGAAACTGAGTTTTAAAATCCTTCAAGTGATAAAAAAAATTGATCTAGATAACAGTAAGTATATATCATTCTGCTTTGATTTATAGTTTTATAATTTCGCTTCCCTTCAGAAATAGTTTTAATGCAACGTCTTGTTTTCTGGCATCTCTGATTGCTGATGAGACATCTATGTTGGTCTAAATGTCATGTCTCTCATTTCCAAGATTTCCTTCAAGTTATGTTCCATATCCATCAATTCTTGTCTCATATCCACCTTTTTTATTTCATAGTTTCCTATTTGTTTTTCATACACATCTTACTTCATTCTTGGTTGTGAGGATTTATCCTCCCACTGCGCATCTAGGCTTTATAAAGCTACGGCTTCTAGAAATAGATCAAAAGTCTTTTTTTTTTTATTTCCCAGTTTCTTTTATTGCGTTGGGAAGCTCCATTGAAGCAGCCCTTTAGCCTGGTTTTGACTCCTCCTTTCTCGAGTGGAGCTCTTTTAACCATCACACACAGGAGCCGTGCTCCTGGCCTCCCGCCTCCACCACAAAGCACAGCGGTGCTCAGCGGGAGCCTCAGTCAGTGCTCAGTCAAAAGCTCAAAAGCTTTTGGCCCCTTTCTACTTCATGGGAGTGATCATCTAGCTTTCTAAGCCCAGCTGTGACTTACCTGTGTGATATTTTATCTATAGTCACTATGCATTTGGAGCAGAAGGGTGGTGTCCAAGCATGGACTCACCACACCACCTTGACCAGAAGGCCGTGCCTGATGGCTAAGCTTCATTAAGGTCTAGACGCCAGGCAAAGCTCTGAGCATGCTGAAACGTTCCGTGGCCTCTGCATTAACATGTTATTTGTCTGTGTGAATAGAAGTCATAATCTAAAGACCATGTATAAGAGAAGAGAAGCAAACATTAATGAGTAATTCAGGAGAGCCCCTCCTCCCCCATGCCACCAGAAGGGAAATCTCAAAAGGAAAATAGGAATAATTGAAAACAGGAGCATGGCAAGCGACTATTGTCCTAAAAGGCAGATAATAGGACATTAGTTAAATGTGTAATTGGTGTGTTGTTGTTGTTGTCTGCCCAGTTTTTCCTGGAAATACTCTCTGTTGCAAAACTTTCTCCTGTGAACTCTTTTTTATTTTTAATAGTTCAGGGATTTGGTTTAGTACTTAGGAGAGTTATAAATCCAAGCACTTTACTCAATGAAACTATCTGTATCCGATAGCGGTTCTTGTAAAAGCAGTGGCCAAATCTTTTCAGAACAGATTTCCAGTAGAATGTTCCCAAAGGAACTGGGAGCGAGCTTGACTGCTTCCTAATCAGTAGTCAGTATTCTGGCACTTTACTTGTTTGCATGAATCAGAAAGGGAGAAGGTCTGTTGGGCTGATCCTGGTGTCCTGGAGGTCTGCTGGGCCAAGCTCTGTAATTATGTGGGCAATTCATTCTCTTCATTGTTTCACTTGAAGGAACAGAGTCTAACTTTGTAGAGAAGGATCCCAGTTGGTCCCCTGAAAGCCAAGCCATTATGTTTTTAGCTGATGATTCTGGAGTTGCTACACCTCTTAGAAAGCGTTTGTACCTCTTGATCTCCACAGCATCTACTTGAACTGCTCTGGGTCCAGTGGGCTCAGATTTTAGTCAGAAAAGGCAGAGCATGATTCCACCCCCCTCAGCTCTTCCCCGTGTCCCCCAAATCCAGGTAACTTTCTCATAGAAAGTTCAGGAATAATATGAAATGAGAAAAACTTCTCTAGGAAGCTAAGGCATTCTTTTCTGAGAGAGAGAGAGAGAGAGAGAGAGAGAGAGAGAGAGAGAGAGAGAGTTAGTTTTTGGCCAGGTGATCACCAGGTGGTGCTCGGTGGTACATTTGAAGGGGGTGCTGGATGCCCCTGGTAGCCTTGCCCTTGCCACCTCAGCTGGTCAGACCCAGAGTCACACACACCTTATAACCAACCTCAGACAAACCATCCTTAAATATCCAGCCGGAAAAAAAAAAAATCCAGCTGGAGGCGGGTTGTAGCCTTCTTTCTGCTGGTGGAACAGCACTGAGGGTATTTTGGATGCAAGTGCTCCAGACTACCATTGGCCTCCAACTGATCAGTCTGATTCTAAGAAAGCGGAGGAACACACATATAGGGACGTTAATAAAAATGGGAACTAAGCTCATATTTAAAACATGATGTGGAACATTAGGCTTACTGATGCTGCTATGCCATATAGCGTCTGTGGGACAATTAGAAAGGGCCTGGTGAACATTTTCTATTCAGGCTTTTCCCAAGGAGAGCGTGTGAATTGTGGGTCTGAACTAAATCAAGGGAGGGAGTGGCTTCTCCCTGGAGCCTGCGGACAATGCTCCACCCACCGAGGCTTTTCATTGTCACTTTGTCTTCTGGTGCCAGGAGGGACAGCGCTCGTGCTGGTGGCAAAGGCAGGGAGACAAAAAGCAGATGTGTCCTTGTCAATGTACGTAGTTTTTAAACATCCTCATTCCTCACAGGCACTCAGCATTAGTGTCATTATTTTTAGACCTCTCTCTCTGTTGCCTATCCCTTGTTTATGTCTGACATCATCGGTGGTTAGAGAGGTTCGGGTACTTAGCAGGTGAGAGAGGGAGGGAGTTCCTGGATAAGGAAGGGGATCCTGTGGCAAAACACTAAAAAGGATTCTTTTCTGCCCTTTTCAATCACAAAATTGTAGCGAAGGGCCATAGTCTGTCATCTGAAACCCTTGGGTTCTGGTGTGTTTCCAAATTCAGAATTTTTGCATTTTAGAAAGGTAATATATCCCTGTGCCATATCCTCAGAAGGGTCTGAACAGATGCCCATACCCGGTAACACCAACATTTCCATAGCAAAACATAATTATGCATCCCAAGTGAGATAAGTAAAGAGTTTTAAATAGCCTCACTTCAACTCAGGTTGTGACACAGATGCATTTCAGAGCCAAACTTAAAAGGAGAAAACACCTTTAAGATTTCCAGAACCTTCTGGGTTTTAGAACTGTGTTTGAGATTGTGGATCTTATATAAACCACATCATGCGTGAAGCCGTGTTTAATGGTCTGTCCTTGGAACCCAATCAATGTTTATGAGAAAGCGTGTTTTTCAAATGACCAACAAAACAAATGTTTGGAACACAATCCATTTGCACTTCAGAGACTGACTGTATTAATAAAAATAATCAAAAGCCACTTTTTGAACTGAGTGCACAGCCAATAGAAATACATTCTTATTAGTTAGCAGGCACTGCCAGTAGTGACACTTCTTAGCTACTCCGTTCCGAAGTCTCAGACTTCAGGATGTGTTTTCTCTCCCCTTTATATTTCCCAAACTCCTCTCTTTAAAAAAAGTTGGGTTGCCCTAGATTTCCTCCTGCTGATACTCTGGGTAGTTAGCAGTCTTAATCAGGGCACGGAGATGAGGAACGGAAGCCACAGTGATTTCAGTCTTGTGGGACCCGAGCATTTTAAAAACATATGAAGAATTTTTTTTGAAACTAATACAGTGATATGTCCTCAAAATTGTGTGACAAAATTAAAATAATGGAAATGGACATCACAGGGCGAAATCACTGAGAAATTCAACTGTTCTGTGAGGAAACTATTTCTCTATTATTTATGATATCATAAGTGAAGTATTTTGCTTAAACAATAACCCCAAATCCATAGGTAAGCCTGAAGTTACATTAAAAACAAAAATATTTAGAAGCTGTTGAAATGGAAGAGTATGTTACAAATAATTTGCAAATGGTTTGTCATTAGAAATTCCAATGGCATAAAGAAATGTGAAGTAAATTAGCTGCTTTTCAAAATCAACAACCCTGGCAGAACAATTACACTCAGAACTGTTTTTTTTAAAACTTGTCAAAATAAAAAACCTGTAGAGTCTTACTGTACCGTGGATTCATTGCATCATGAGTCCACTGTATATATTTTTTTTTACTGTATCTGAGAAAATGCAGAAAATACACATGTGCTATCCTCACATTCCAATATCCTATCATAATAGCCACAGGACATATGATTTCTTCAGCACTCGGCCCGGCATTGTGCCTTGATATTGTAAGCAGTGTTGGGTATCTTGGAGGGCCATCTTTCCATAGCCAAATTAAAGAAAAGCAGTGAAATGGTGTTCTCTGTGTTCATAAATGCACTTTCTTCATGCTCCCATTTCTGTTACTGAGAATGGCTACAGATTGGAACATCTATAGCATCCCTGGACATCTTTTGACCACCGTGTCTCGCATGATTAGTGCCATTTAGTGAAAGCCCTTTGACTTTCCCTGTCGGGCTAGGTAGGAAGAAATCCTGACTGGAAATAGGAACCCTAGTCATGATGAAAACATAACCAAAAAGGAATGACAAGCCTCAGCTTCGTATCATATACTCAGAGCAGAACAGTGAAGATGGCCTTTATTTTAAAATGTTTTATCTGTCGTTCCTTGCTCACCCCCAACAACAATAACAAGAAAACTTTCACATTTCACATTGAAAAGTTGCCCGGTCATCCAGTGATGACAGGGATGAAGGCTGGACCCCCTTTAGACCTGCCCAAGGGGGAGGACCATTTAGTGTATGGTTCACGGAGCCTCTTTACCTTTTCATTCTCTGCCTCCCCTGCTCCTGTTTGCTCTGGCATCTTGGGGAGCAGCATGTACTCTGCATAGCATGTGCGCTTCTTTCTGAAACGTGCAATCCACTCCACACTGCAGTGATTTTTTTTTCTCTCCTTTGCTTAGAACAGAGGTGAAAACCCCAGAGGATTCAAGTATCCACTTGATAGGCTCAGTCTCTCTTAATCAGCCTGTAATGGAGCTAATGGCTGTTTGTCATCCTTGGAGATATAAATTTCCTGGCGGTGTCTCCTGCAGACAGCGCATGGAGAAGGCTGTGTGTGCCAGCAAGCACCGATAATCAGCAGAAGGGCAGGGTGCTTGTTAGCCAGGAGGAGCGCCGGGCTTCCCGCTGCCAGGCTCCAGAGCTCGCCTGGCCACTCCTGAGACATGGACGATGCCGGTAGGTAAAGCAAGCCTGAATCCTTCCCACCCTCTCGGCTCCTTTGCCGTCGGCATCCTTCCCTGCAGGATGTTTGTCTATGTGTTGTTGGTCTTGTCCTGCACTCTCACGTTCGAGCCTGGGAGACATGGTATGTGTTCACCCTGCTGCATTGTCCACAAGGCGCTCAGTGTTTGCTTTGAAGTTCAGGAATTGGGAACGCAGATTTTAATTCCACAGCCACCTTTTGGAAGACTACACGGTTATTGTATTTAGGCTGCAGGAAGTGTGCTTTGCTGTGTGATTCTTTTGTGCTCAGAACAGTGGGCGAAAATGCATCTGGTTAATGAAACAACTTACTAAAGGGTGGCAGAAGATGGATGGAGTTAATGAACTGAACAAACATTTTTTCACTGTTACGGTATGCACTGTGTAATAGCAGCTGAATGCTTGTGTCTGATGCTTAGTCTTCCTGTTAGCATGAAAGGTGGAAAACATCTCAGTATCCTCTGATATGTTAGTTTCAGGGTACAGACATTAGTGGCCAATCAGGTGCCTTTTGAAAATGTATTTGTGTTTAATAACTTGACAGCTAGACAAACATGACTGTGGGAGTATTCTAATGCCACTTAAATGATTAGCATAAAATTACTTCTCATGTGGAACTTTTTCTGTGCTATATTGGACTTTTAGAAGACCCACGCTATGGGATTACTCCCCATTTTGGTGTTAAGAATATTAAATGCAGAATTCTCCCCAAAATGCTATGGATGCTCTGTCTCCTGAAACTCATTAGCTCAGTTGCTCAGCTGGTTGTGGTTTTATAGAGAGATGCCTTGCAGCCTGTGGACACGGTCAGCTCTGCAAAGAGGATGCATCATTTACAGCACATGCCCCACAGTAAGATGACTCATTTTTAGCAAAACATATTTGTTTGTGAAATGTGGCTATTTCAGCTCTTGGTTCAGGTAGCGTAGGAAGGCAGAGATTTTGAAGGTAGTGTGTTTTGAGTTCTTTCATGAAATAAGTTACCAGACTCTGTGACTAAAATCATTTTGTCTTTGACATTGAAGACATTGACATAAATTGGAACAGTACAATATTAGGGGTGAAAATGTCAGGGCTATGAAAGGAACAAAACAAATATGACAGTGTGTGTGTGTGTGTGTGTGTGTGTGTGTGTGTGTGTGTGTGGAGGAAGGAGGCTGGATTGATGTATGTGTGCATTATAGTCCACATTTTTAGTCAATAAAAAAATATGCCAATAGGGCTTGTCATTAAAGCATGTAGGTGTGATGTTCCATGACAAGGCACAATTTTAACAGGAACCCCAGGCTTCTCTAATTACAGTGGTAGAGTAAAAAAAAAAAATAGATAAATAATCTAGAATCCCTAACTTAGCCTCATTTAAAACTTCTGCCACCCACAAGTAATTATACTGAGGTCCTGGCAGAATTATCGTTTTAATTCAAGTAAATGCCTTTCTTAACTGACTCATGTATTTTTTTAAAGGCCATTTAAGAAAAGGAATGAAACTACTATAGAGCCCCTCTGTAGGTTTAAAAAATGCTAAGGGTTAGGATTTACTTCTTGGCTTTCTGTAGCTTAGAGGGATGAGTATTTTCACAATTTGTACTTGTATTTATGCTTTCAGATGCTATTAATAAAATACGTCTGCTTCTGACACGTTTATGACTATTTATGCACTGTGTTGAGTGGCTTTTAAAGCAGCAATTTCTCTATCATTTCAAATTGTAGGTGAAATCCCAAATGTATACCTTTGAGTGGAATAACAGGCTTTTAAATTACATTATTTGAATATTTCAGAAATAACACTTTTCTCATAATAGTTAATTGGCTGTCAAAGATCACTTTTCATAGTAATATTTTGATGATGTAAGCAACCTCTTATAGCAGGGACATGTGAACATCACACATACACACACACACACACACACACAACTTCAATACCTTGTATTGACTATAAGGAAGGCATTTAAGATAGTACTGGTAAGTGCCCCACCCCCCCATAAAAAAAATAAAAGCTCCAAATACCTTTAACATTTTACCAAGACACCCAATTAACTTGGGATACTGCAATTTCTCCAGTTTAATTTAAACAAGATAATGATGTTGAATATCTGTCTAAATTTTCCAATCAGAAATGGTTGAGGCCTGGATAGCAGAGGCTAGCAGTGTAGAGCTGAGCACCAGCCCTAACAATTGGACCACCCATTTCAGTGATCCAGGCCTTCTTCAAGGTTGGATTTGTTTTTGTTTAAATGCGATTTTATTGATTTCAGAGAGGAAGGGAAAGGGAGAGATAGAAACATCAATGATGAGAGAGAATCATTGATTGGCTGCCTCTCGCACACCCCTACTGGGGATCGAGCCCGCAACCCAGGCATGTGCCCTTGACCACTATCGATCCTGGGACTCTTCAGTCCACAGGCCAATGCTCTATCCATCGAGCCAAACCATCTAGGGCCAAGGTGGGGTTTGGATAATTGTTAGGCAGAAACACAACAGTGGGCACACATAAGCCCAGTGCCTCTGATTTATTCAAATCACACAGAAGGCTGCATAGAAGATATCCGTGTGTGTTTTCTGTTAACACATAAGGAAGAGTTGCTGCCTGGGACTCGGGCCCGTCCGGTGCCCATGAGCAGGTCTGAGCCCACATGCCAGTGTGCTTCCACCCACCCTCTCCTTAGCAGGCGAGAGCTGACAGTCCTCCCATCTCTGAGAAGGAGACATCCCTTCCCCATAATTGCTGGTGTATGTATTCCTTTTAAAAGCTTTTCCTGGAGTAACAATAAAATATTTATCAAACAGTTGTGTGTAGAATATGTCAGGGCAGTTTTAGCAATATCTAAGCTTTTCTTCTTTTTTCATGTGCTTGTTTCTTCTGGCGAGTTCTATGACTGATATGGCTATTCCTTTATCAAGCAAGGCTATGACTACAACTGCAGTCCGAGTTATTCCATCCCTGTGTCTGTGTCTGCTACTTCTCCACCCAGCCATTACCAGGCGTCCTCATGGAGTCGTTGTGGAAGGTAGTGCTGAGGCAAAGCTGATTAACTTGGTGTGTAATTAACATACCCACTGTTTGAAATGTGCTTCCATATTCTACAGGGCAGAGTAGTCTCACAAGTTTGGTAGCATTTGTTGGGCTAATTTTTCTTTGCTTGAGACCAAGATATTACCATTATCATGTGTGGGTCATAAGAGACACATTTCTAGGTGGCATCTGTGAGAGCCACTGTGTCCTCACGTTACATTTTGCCCCAGTGGCTTAAAGGGTTTTGACTCTTGAACAATCACTGAATGTGGAGAACTTCACTGTCTATAAGCTCCTTGCAAAAGAGACTGGAGAATCATTTGGAAACAGGTAGAAGAAAGGTTTATAATGGTGTGGTCAAGAGCATGAAATGATCCAAGATGAAAACCAGCTCTACCACCTGCATCCCAGTGGCCATGAACAAGCTCTCTAAACTCTGTGGCCATGTATTTTCTCATCTATAAGTGGCAACAATAATTTTACCTATCTCGGGATAGTTATGAAGAGAAAACACGGTAATATGTGTAAAGCTTTGTACAATGGCTGGCATATAGTAAGACTTGAGACCTGTTGGCTGTTTAAAGAACCATCAAAAAATTAAAGCAGGGTTACATTATGAACAACTCTATACTCTAGCAGGGTGGCTCTAGCAGTGAGATGATGCTGTGGGAAGGTGAGCAGTTACAAGCTGAGAGCAGTCAGGTGGGTGTCCCAAGAGTGTAATTGGAAATTGATGTGGGTGGTGCAATGGGAATGGGGTTGAGGGATGCATTGGATCTGCATCAGTAGAGCATGAGGAGTGGATAAGGAGTCAGGGGGGAGTAGACTAGTCACAGCAGACCTTTGAGGTTTCTAGTTTGAGAATCTAAGATAATAGTCTTGTACTATGGAGCACAGAGGAGTTTTAAGGGAAAGACATGGGTTCCATTTTGGAATCGTTGGGTTTGAAATACTTCTGTGTGACCCACTAGCCAAAGTAGCTGTTCAGTAATGACTTTCTAATCCACTAAAAGGTGTACACACACACACACACACACACACATAGGCATGGGTACATGTACACACATGGAATTCCTTACTAACCATGGATTTGAGGTAATACAGGGTTGTTTTCTGTTTTATTTAAAATCTTTTCTATTTTATGTATGATTTAGTTCAGCCCTGTAAACCCCACTGCAGCTAATGCTTCCCTTCCCCCTCTCCCCTAGCCTGTGGGGGAACCTAAGGGGTGGTGTAGAGAAAGGAGACTTTCCAGTGCTTCTTGAAAATCTTTCAACGCAGGTGGAGATAAGACCAGGCCCAGAGAAATATGCCCCTGAGCACTGAAGTAGTTTTGGTAAAGGCCAGGCTGTTATATAAGCAAATGTAAGCACCAAGACATTTCAGTTCCAGCCCCTCAGAACTTCCCTCAGAGAAGCTACTTTAGCAACTCAGGCTGCCCTCGCGGAGTCCTAACAACAGAAGACAGCAAATCGGGAGAATGGTTACCTAATGGAGGAGACTTTTTATGTGAATTAATTTGCTTTGGAAATGAATGCTTCCTGGGACAGTTGGCTATGTGTGAAAACTATATATGGTGCAATTTAAAATGTTTTCCTGTATTTTCTACTTTC